TTTTGTTGTTTGAAAAATATAGTTGTGGATTCGTTAAATCTGGCTTGAAACAAATTATTTATAATAATCTTTCTTTGTTTTACATTTATATTTGTTATCATTTCCTCATTTCTAAATATGGTTTAGTTTTTTCTAAATATGGTCACCCAAATTATAAAGGCGACCAAATGGGATCAGCTGTTTTCGCTACCGCTCTAATTCTGTTTAAGTAGGCGAAATAGTTGGGCGAACGGTGACCGACAGCATCGCCCAATTCGGCGAAGTTTGCCGTTCGCCGGTATTGTATTTCAAGCATAACGTCTACTGGAAATTCAGCATGAGTCCAAGGCGAATTCATATAAGGTGGTATCAATTCAACAAATACAACAATTACTTGTATTTTGTTTTTGCTTTTAGCTGGTGATTGTCAAATTTCAGCTATTCTTCTCCGAATGAAAAAGGGCGACAGAAAATACAAACACTCTCACGTTTTCACTCACTCACTAGCAAAATATAAAAATTTGACAATCAAACGCTACACACAGCTGATTTAACAACACCACCTTATATAAATTCGCCTTGCATTTCTTTTCTTGGTAGAAATTAGCCACATACAGAACTTTATTCAAATATGAGTTTGAATAAAGGTCTGATCTCGAATTTTGGAAAGAAGGCAAGCACATGTGGAAAAGGAGTCTTGAGGTTTTTATGTTGATAAGAATGAAATTTCGATCAATATTACTTCTACTACTACTACTTAAAAAAAGGTCTGAAACGAACTCGACTGTTAGTTACATGATTTGGCAACATGGATCCTAATCATAAGTGATAGCCTTTCGGCCTTTCAACTGCGAGATTAAATCATGTCTAGCTCTTGATTGCATGGAGTAACCTTAATCCTCTACAATGACATCAAACTATTGTGAATACCAGGTCATATCGGAATGGAGGAAAACGAAGTACCTGACAAATTAGCGGCCACTATTACAACGGGTCTTGAGCCTTCAATAGCGGAGAGCCCAAATAGAGAAAGCTACTAAGAGTAAATATCAAGCAAAGCTCATAAGAGGTCCGCCAGCGTTCCCACGACAGTCGGGTCTACGTAACCGGAACGGCCCAGATTTATATCTGGCCACTCCAGCAACACTCCCCAAAAAGTCTTTGGGGAATTTGTATGCTGCTACAACAAAAACAACAACAACAGAGCTCCTGCAGAATACGTGCCTAGTGGGAGGATATAGTATTAGGATATTTCCACTCCCAGTCAGTTTAAAGAAAAAATTTTACTTACAGCCCCATTCGATCATCCCCGAACAATCTTTGTCGCTTTTGTGATTTGCCCGAAGACACGCCATCGGCCTTTCACGCTGAATGTGATGCCGTTTCTATCGCTAAATGAGCATTGTAATATTGAAGAAGTTTTTTCACTCCATCCGAACCAAAATAGCGATGCGTCAAACACAACCATAGTTTAGTTCAAAAAAAAGTTAGGCGAAATGTCAACAAAGAATTGGAAGAAATTACTCGAGTTTATACTGTGAAATACCCGGAAAGAAATTTTATGGATTACAAGCGTGTATCAATCGTTCGTTGGTCAAATGGAATTTATATCTGAAAAAATTGTCACATTTTAACAGCCTTAGAAATAATCGTATAATTTTTTTATTTGAAATTCCTTCTTTTTGTTTATGTTTTTTCCCTAAATATGTTTTAATTACATATTTACTTTTAAGGTAGCAATCAGAGGCTAAACCGGTCAAAAGATTTATAGATATTCGGATACGTGTGGCATTAAGCATAGATCAGCTTAATTTGAAAAAAATTAGCTTTTTATTGTATTGACTGCATAACAAATGTGTATTGATATTTCGAGTTGCAATGAATTTCCACTAGGCATTGAAATGACAAGAAACAAACTTAATGACAACTTTTATTGCAAGTAAAACTTTTGCCATTTAATTCGAAGTGGAAATCCGGCATTATGGAAGTTCTAGTGAATATTGAGTTAAAAGTTTTGATTTCTTGAAAAATAAATTACTAGAATAGTCGTTGCCCAAATGAAAGTTAAGCGCAATTACCAGGTAAGCCTAAAATTAACTAAATCAAATTACATACATATGTCAAAATATATAAGCAAAGCTTAAACGAAAAGCCAAGAGCAGAAAGTATAGAATGTATCATATATTTATGTAAACGATGCTTGCTGATTGTATTTGCGAGTATATGCAAATATTTCTGAAGGCCTAAGTATTTAAGTAAATTAAAAACACAAGAGCAGTGATTACCAGGGTTGCTTCTCAGGTGTTGAAAATTTTCAAAACGAAAGCGACAATGTCAAATCTGACAGATGTTACAATATTTCATACTTAAGTAGTAAGCCGTGTACTCTCTGTTCTCCAAAATAAGCAAGTAGTATAAGAATATAGCTTAAAAAGCAAAACAATAAAACATATCCTGCCCAGGCTTTACATTTTACAAATAAATACCAAACTCTACATACAATGTTTTCTGTATACATCTGGAAGCGTTGTGGCAACAAATGAACAAACGAACTGACATAAACCTAACTATATCTGTGCCCGTCAATTAAAGCGCTATTTCATAGGGTTCTCAAACAATATTTTAACGATTAACTAGCCACAGGTGTAGTTTAAGTTGCACCTAATAGAAGCTTAATAAAAATATAAAATTTTGCAAAGGAAACTTATTATTTTTTTAATTAATGGTCAAACCTGCTTAGTAATACAAGCTACTTTAATTAACAGGCTTAGATATTTCGATGCGAAGTACCCTACCAGAACATATTAAGTCGAAAGTTTCCAACACGAACATTCTCAGTAAAAAAAAATTAGATCATCCAAATATTAATTTTAGATCGCTTATTCGCGTGCAATGGATTACTACACAAATCTCCGATCCATGTGCATTTTATACTCCTTTTTAACAGTGCATGTCCTTACGGGCGAGACGCACTCCTTTTGAGCTCCTAACGGAAGACAGAACGGAAATATTCTTTTGAGCCTTTTTGACCTCCGAAACGACAAACAAAGGAAGTCATCTTCCTATATTCGTCAACTCGTTAAATACTTCAAAACGGATTCAATAAGCATGGAATAATACAATTTTTGGAGAAAAAAAAATGCCTCGCTTAACGCGCCAAATGGTTAAACAAGTTATTCATTACTCCTTTATTGTTCGATTTTGGTATTAATCCATACATTTTTACACTCGGTTAGAAGTGTAGAGAAATTCACACGTACATTAAAATGCACAATAGTATACGGTATTATTTTTACGAGGTAAACTACCCATAAATAATGGGTATTAACTCTGGTATTTACCCAGTCTGTTCTGGTAGGGGTACTAACAGATCAAAGTGTTTTTTTTTTTTTTAATACATGTAGATGTGGGATGTATGTATGTATTACAAAACAAAAGCAAACCGAATTGAGGCATCCACGCTGGAAAATTAAAAAAAAAAAAACCCCCCATACATTCACCTCACCCATCGCGCTTGCTGTGTTACATACGTTTGCTGCTTCATACTCCATTTGTGCGAAAATACAGGTAACACGTACATATGTACATACGCCTTTACGTGCTCAAATTATAATTTTGTAATCTTTTTTCTATTTGTATTTATTGCGGCTGTAGTAAGTTTATTATTTTTACCTTTTGTTTGGCAGTTGTTTCACGTGTGTGCAGGTGTGATTTTAATTGTCCGAGGACTTTTGCTGCTTTCGAGAGATTCTTTTCTTGTTGCCAAATATCGGATTTCGAGTCACCCTAAACAATTTGATACACAAAACGTTTTGCAAAAAGCGAATACACAAAGTGTTTCAAATACATAGATTAACGAATAAACACGTTACAGGTGAACACAAAATATGTATGGATGTAAGTATGTAAATGGGAAGAAAAACAGATTATGTGTAGTTGTGTGCATGTATGTTTGTATGTATGTATGTATGTAAATCAGTAACTGCTGTGCTGATGTACACCATGGCACTCCCATACATAAATTTTCTTGCAAGCGGAAATTAGTGAAGTTAAAACCAAAAAAAAAATATATAAATAATAATAATAATTAGAAAAAGTAATTTGAAGTATGTACCCACAACTAAAATTATGTAATTATATGCGGTGAATTTTGTGCGCATTCAAATTAAGAGATGATTATTATCATTATGTTTTTTTGTTGCATGTAAAAAAGATAATTGCAAAAAAAAATTTAAAAAAAAATTATCTAGTTACTAGAAGATTTAAAAACAAAAATATAAATGCATATATTGCACTCCGTAAATTAAAGAAACTATACCCAAGTTTTATGTATTAATTTTATGAGTTTTAAGTATGCAAATGAGAAGTGGTGAAATTGCTGATGATTTTGATATGCAGTGATGTATTTGATGATTGTGGGTGGTGGTGACAAAGGTGCTACTGTAATTTACAACATACATTTATGTATCTATGGGTGATTTTGCCAAAGCAAACTGTACCGCGTGCACAACAACTACACCAAATAATTTATATAACTAAAGAGAGATAATAAAAACATATAACACCCGAAACAAAACCACCTCAAAAACTAAGAAGAAAACACAAACTGAATGACAAAAAACTAAGATATATCTACAAATACATACCTAACACACGAAAAATGCTTAGTGGATCTTGAAACGTTTGTTGAACAGGAAAAAAATTATTTGATATTTCAAATCTTGCAATTTTATTATTTTAACAGCATCCTTTGGAGATTAAAAAAAGTTGAAATCGCTACAAAGAAAATCTAAATCTAAGCTTTAGATCACCTTGCATTTAGATAACTATGACCAAGCTGCTATTAGTTCTGAAAATATTCGATTTCTCACCAAATCTAACAAAAATCCATAACCGGGGGCCATACACCTATCTGCATATGAACATCGATTAGCGAATGGTAGATGGAAAAGGGAGCACATATACAAGTGGGATGACAAGAAAAATCTGGACTGCTTTCAAATTAAATATAATAGATCTCAGGCTTTGATCTCAATTCATAACCTTATATCGCACTGGAAACGCACCCTAATAAGCGAATGCGCTATCCAAGAGCTGAAAGGACGAGGAAGAGAGGAAGAGTCTCAAGCTTTTCTCTCTCAGTGCCTTGCTCCAGCCTCCATAATTTTTTTTATTTTTTAATTATATCTGTGGACATATGACAAAACAACCTCTTTCAAAATTACACATTTTTCAGGAGAGCAAAAAAACATATTAAATGCTCTTCATAGCATAAGATTCTTACAATTAAGGAGAGATTTTTGTTAAAGCTGGACACGTATCAATAAACAAGCATTTTTCAATAAATTTTATTTATTTAAAATATATAAATTAGACCTTCAGTCAAATGCTCTTTCAAACAAAAAATCATCTTATCCCATGCAAGTTATTTTGTCAAATTGAGTTTAAGTAAAATAGTAAATGGTTTTTTGCCTTGGCTCAATACAAGTTTATTTTAGAAAGCAACTTTTTTAAAATACAAGTTCTTTTGCTATAATTTTTCCGTTTGAAATTTATTTAAATTCCAACTTATTCGAAAGAAGATCTTTTGTCAAATGCAATTTCGAAAAAATTAGAAAGAAATTGATAATTCATGCATACGATAGAAATCTTGGATAAATGGTCTTATCTCGAGAGAAATATACCCAGATATGTACATACCTATGTACGACCGAATTTCAAATAGAATGGCAATGGCGTTATGGAATTGGCAAAGGTGGAACCGATTAATCGGCATCGATTTCGGCTAGTATCGGCACACAATATTCGACATCGGACATCGCCCTATTTTGGCCGATTATTTGAACTTTCTTTTCCCATGTATAGTACTTTATTCAGGTGAATTCTCTGTTTTAGCCTCAAATTTTATCGGCTATAAAATGAAGAAATTATTATATTTCCGCACTGGCAGCTGATTTTGTTAGCAGCGGCATCGGCAATTAATCATTCGTGATTCAAACGAACTTCGTCGTCGATTTGATTGTGTGCAATCGCGTATACTTCAGTGTGTTGTAATTTTGACAGCGTACTTTTTTCCGACGAAGTTCCCCCGTCAGCGAATTTATTTTGTTGCATACTTATACTCTGAGAACAAATCGACATTTAAATGTAGCTATAGTTACATGCATAAACATATATGATTGAGTAATTAATAGGGCTGTGAGAGCACGGTTAATTTCAAGATGTGTGATTAAAACGAAAAAAGTAAGAACAGAACCGCATGACCAATCGGTTGGAATTTGACCAGCCTTCTGAGACCGAATCACTGATCAGAAAAGGGTTGGCTTGTGAAAATAATTTACTATTTGTTCCTTTTAGTAGGAGGATTTTTCGCACTTTTTCCTCCTTTTAGTAGCAAAATGATGCACTTTTGCTGCAGATGCGTGCAAAGGAGTAAAATAAACTTATTGCCTTGTTTGCTTTTAGAATGAAAAAAACATGCATTTAACAAAAATTTGGCAAAAATCTCAGAAGAAAGAATACTAAAAATTTCAATTAATGTTGAATTCTACCGTTCATTTAGGGCTATTTTTTGCATTGAATACGCAGAAATTTTTCTTATCAAAGTTTTGAAAAATATTTGAAGTTTTGTAAAATTAAAAAAACTGGACACACAGCCGCTCTAAAGAGTCGTTTAATGATTACTTAAGGCGTTCCTCAGTAACGATTTGAAACATTCCCTCTCAGAGTCAGTTAATGATTCGTTAACGGTATTTAATGAACATTACAGTAAAGTAAAGAACATTTTAAATTTCGCTAACGTTGCTGTAACGGTCGCAATGGCCCAGTGTTCAGAGCACTGGCGAGTGATCTGAGTTCAATCCGCGGCAATGGATTTTTTTTTTAATAATTTTTTTTTTTAATTCTTAACTTTTATTGTTAAAAAATAAATATTTTTTAATTTCATTTAATGTTTAGAAACTTTTTTTAATTAATTTGTTTCTTTTTAATTCTCACAAATTTTTAGTTTTTATTGTTTAAAAAAAAAATATTTTTTTAATTTCGTTAAATTTTTAGAAAACTTATTGCTAGATAAATTCAATTCTTCATTCGAAATACGAGCTTTCAAGATAGTTGCTGGAATAGAAACGACTTTCGTCTTTCGAAAGACTGATGCCTAATATATACCTAACAATAAACAACGAATTATAACTTCAAGTAGTAAATCCTCAACAGTTTTGTTATTTATTTTGTACCCCCTTTCACTTTAAACAAAATTTACTTTGACTTGAGTAAAACGAGCTCCTAATTGCATGATGGCAAGCGCGAGGAAATTCAGATCGCAACTCGATGTTACACATCCTATCATACGGATGGAGGCAGGCCTCGAAACTTATTTTGTTTTAAATACTAAGCCCAAATCTTAAAACACACAAAAATAAATACGCTAAATGTGGGTTGCTGCATTTAAGCAGTGTTTACAGTATTTGTATTTAGTTCGTTATATGGGGCGTTTAAACATGCGTGAAATGTGTAATAAAATGTACACAAATATTATTTACCAGCTTCTATTAATAAACCACCCACCCCCTCGAATGTCTGTACATACAAATGCATATATTTTCGTACGTTAAATCGCCGACCTTGTCTAGGTACGTACTAACAAAAAAAAAAACAAAAACGTCACAGTGAAGTCTAATTACAATATTGCACAGTTGTGAAACAACTACTAAACATTTATGTATACGTTTTTAACATTTTAAAGTATGTATTTAAAAGTAAATTTGCAAACCAAACATTCGTTTTTTATAAGAAAAAAGAAAATGTTTTAAAAATTAGTGCAATCATGCTAATCGAAAATGCATAAAATAAACTAAAAATATGTTGCACAAAACAGGCACAAACATACGGACGTAGTATAAACACAGAACATGCTTAATTAGTAAAATACGTTTGGCTATACGATTTTTGTCCCGTAAAGATTAAGTGGCTTTAAATCGCACTATTTTTGTGATATCTACAACAATAAACATTTACATATTGAGTAAGTAATTTTCAAACACATATTTAAGGCTTGCATTTATCGATCGGCTAACATAAAATATTTAACTCTTGCAAATGTACAACATTGCAGCCTCAAGTAACCGTTAAGAGAGAACAATGATGTAAACTAACGATGAAGGTGATATTAAATCGCTTTGTCATAATAGTTTTAAAGTTTACCTCAAATAGGTTTAGTTACAAACTGAATGGAATTTAAATGTATGTATGCAGTATATAAATAAATTTAATAAGTTCAATAGTATTTATGCAAGAAAAAAATGTTGTAAACGCTTTATTTAGAGATGAAACACAAAGAGTAAGTAAAGTTAAAATTAACAGCCAAAATGAGATATGTATGCAAAACAACTTGAGCAAGTCAATGTTATAATTTGCGTATGCGGTAAGTATTATTCGTAAATCAGTTTGAAAACAAATGTAACGAAACACAAAAATAATTATGAGGGAATAGAAAAGGCAAATACCTCTTCTTTGCTCTCAATGCGGTCCTTAATGTGATTGCAAAAGACGGGTAGCAGAACGGCGCGACAATCGGGCGAGAGGAACAATTTGGAATCCACAAAGTCCTTGATGCAACCCATTTTCGACTGGGTCAAGCGGCGTGGCGGGAACTGACGCAAAATATTGACAATCACATTGCTAAATGTGAAAGCAGCGTAAGAGAAACAGAAATATTTGAGAAATTATAGAACGCATAACGTCTTTCAGACTGCATACAGACCTTAAGCGCACCTCGTCGAATACCATCATTAAATCGGTGGCAATGATGTGCAAGTTTTTCAGCAGTGCTCCCTCAGATTTTAACAAATCCGTAGGGCAGGCAATCATTTTTATGAACATCTCCAGTAGTTCTAGAGGCAGCAAGGAAGTTATTAGCATTTAATTACTTCAAGTGTAAACTAATTAGAGCAGCAACACTCACCATGCAGTTTATTTGCGAAATCATCGTAATCCGAGTTGCCGTTGATCGCCGCGAAGAGCACACGTGAACGTATGACGAATTTCATAACATAATGCAAATATCTGGTGGTCTTGTAAAGCCGTTTCACCTCCACGCGCTCCTCAATTTCAATACCATCTGCAAACTTTTCAGTGGGCTCAATGGCTTCTCTGATATTACGTTGCAGCACATCAATTAGTTTGCTGTGCGTAAAGGAAGAGGAAAAGTGTTAGTACAAAATAATAAACAGTAAACGCAGTTACAGTTAAATTAAGGACACCTTTTTGCATTAAAAAAAAAAGTGCAATACTTACTCATAGGCCAGCGTCGCTGAGAAGCTCTCATTTATGTACACATCCAAAACGGTGAGAAAATGTTGATATTTCAGATCGGATACTGTCTCAATAAGATGTATAATACTCATGAAAACCAGCTGATCGTAACGTGCAGGATCGTCATTTTCAACCTACGCAGATTCACATTGCAATAAAATAAGGTGTACAAAAATTGAAAACACGCTTTACCAAAATGTTGAATAAGGCATCGAGTATGTCTTGCAGAAATTTCACCACCTCCTCGCCGGGCACATTTGATAAGGCGTTCAGTGACTCCTCCAGCGTTTCTTTGTGCGCCGACCAATTGAGCAAACCAAGTAGGCTCACTGAAAGACAGAAATGTCACTGAAATATATAGTACCTAAACACCATTTACGTATCTATCAAAGTACTCACCGCTTTGTGTCAATTTCGTGCTGCATAGATTAACGCAAATTGCCAGCTGATCTTTGGGCAGCAAGGTTAGACCGCCCAGCGACGGCTTGGTGCCCAGCAATTCACCAAGCGTTGAGGTAAGTCCATGTAAATATTGGCGTTATTCTTATCATACTTTTTGTGATCGATCTTGTACACAGCCAGATTGTGTTGTCCTTGCTGAAGGCATAACAAAAACATAGCAGAAATTAAAACGCACTCATAGTGTGTGCTGCTGACTTACCAATATTGTCGTGCCATTGTCCTGCATTAATTTCACATACGACAGCCCGAATGGCTTCTCGGATTTGTCCTTCTGCTCGTTGGAGCTTCGATGTTTGAAGAGGAATTTCAAATGACACTGCTTGAATTCGTCAATAGGCACATGTATCTGCGATAAAAAAAAAATAATAATAGATATTAATAAACAAACACTTCAAGTGGATGCGCGCTTCTTTCTACCTTGAATGTTTCCAGCCACTTGGGCTTATCGTCGTGATAGTACACCACCGACTTGTACTCGTCAATGGGTGGATGTCCCGCGCCAATGCTCATCACGCCAGGCACAACCTGCCCCTGTTCATTGCACACATACACCGTCACTTCGACATTCTTCTCCGAGGTCTTCGCAATGCGCGCGAATTCCCCACCGCATATTGTCAAATACAGATCATTGCGTACATCGCCAGGCAATATAACCTCGGGAAAGCCCATTTTGCGCGCCAGCGGCACATTTGTGTGCAGTAGTCGCGGAAAATCCTCCTTAATTTGCTTGATGTCGCCCTGCAACACCTCAATGGTAACCGCCATTTTGGAGTCGATCTTGCCAATATCCTTGTTGGCGATCAGCTTGCGCAGCGTCCCATCCAGCGTATCCTTCTCGCACAGCATAAACGGCAAATCCAAATTGCCACGAAAATCCTCCGGTTTATGCAGTATCGGTGTGAGATCTTTGCAGGCGACACCAAATGGACGCCGCATTATGTACTCAGTGTTGTTGAACGAGCCACTCGAACTTATCGAAAGTTGCGAGTGTTTCTTGCTTGAGGGTGTCAACATGGCAGTGGTTATGCTGGCGCGCTTCGAATCGTTCTCCTTCATTTCCATGGCACCTATGCGTATCGCATAGCAGACGAGGTACATTTTCGAGATACTCAGATCGTTTTTGCTGAGATCTGTGAATAGTACGCGATTATTGTCGAATTGATCGATGTCGCGTGCGATGCCCGTACGCGACCATTTCACAACATAATTTTCGCTTATCGGCTTATGTGATTCGCCGTCGAATAGTGTGAAGAGGAGGTCTGAGTCCTCTTGGAACTTGCAGACGAATGCGTTTACATGCAGCAGGATATTGTGCGAGTATTTGTTGAGGGGACGCGGGGAACGTTGAATAGTTTGCGGGCGCTATAAAACAAAATGCAGAATAATAAAATTACTTATAATACAGAAACGAATTATGAAAGTTATTTTGTACGCATTTATGCAATTTTTTTCACGCAGTCTCTCTTCCATACAAACAATTTTTTTTCGAAAATACCTTATATGGAAAAAATGCAAAACAACTTCAACAAAAAAAATTCTCAAAAATCAACGCGATTTTTGACTAACTCTGAACTTGCACTTTTTTTACTAGAATTTAATGGGCTGCAAAACTGCATACTCAAAAAACTCTCAAAAAATCTGATTAAAAAGCTGCAAATTTTGATGAAAATTTGCTGAATTTTCGCGAGTTTTGCACAAAGTTTAGGAATTTTATTTTTATGTTTTTTGTTGTTTAACCATATTTTTATACCAAATTGGCGAAAAAATATTAGAATAAAAATTTTTGTATATATTTTGAAAAATTTGCTGTGCCAATACCGGCAGTGTATATTTAAAAGTAAGAAAAAGCAAACGTTTTTGAGTTACATATCTGAAATTCAAACCCAAAGTGAAAGCTAGTTAACCTCACTTAGTTCAAAGTCGGAGCAGAAAATAAATCAATCAGCTTAATTGATTTCAGAATATACACATATGTATGTATGTACATATAAATTTACAATAGGGTGCCTCACCATATTATATTTCAAGACTTCCACCAAAAATGTTTCGGAAAAATATTAAGATTCACAGACAGATCTAATTATTTTGATACCGTTGATGAAATAATCGAACATCTTTTAGGCAGACCTTTTACGCATAAACTTTTCGACCATATAAGGTATGTTTTTTAAATATTTTTAAAAACTGATTCTCTTTATAAAAAAAGAGACTTTTGCATATGTTTTCAAATGGATATAGCACGTAAATCTTAATATTTTTCCAAAAATCTTTTGGCGGAAGTCGCAGTGAACTGGATGAAGAAGTCTGACGAGCAGACGTGTTGATCTCCGGAATAGTAGCTATAACTTCTACCACGTATAAATTAGTGTAGTTTTTTCACATAATAATAAAAAAAAACGACCTCAAAATCGTTAAAAATTGTTAAATGGAAGTCTTAAATAAATTTTATGATTCCGATAGAAAAACAGTGCCGATTACAAAAAAAAGCGCGCGATTTCAAAAAAAGAAACAAAAAATTTGCCAAACCAGGCGATTGCCTTTTCGCATTATTCCGTGACACCTAAATTCGGCAAAAATTTTTATTTGCAAAAGTTTACTGATTTACTCATATAAAAATTTAAGATTACCGTTAATTTTTTTATGATCCAATGACCGGATCTAAACCACCTGTAAGACACAACCTTTCCGATAGAAAAAGAAATATCGCAATCGGTTGACGTGGTCTAAAGTTATGTGGTATAAAAATGAGTTGGAAAGGGCAATAATAAACAAACACATATAAATCATTTTGGAACTCGTTTGATAAGAGAAGATTAGAATTAAGGCTCATATAAGTCAACCTTCGCAGAAAGGGAAACAACTTCTTAAACCGTACATACATAAGTTTCGTTTAGGGCCAGTTCTTCAGTTTAAACGCCCTATCTAGCTGATTTAAACTATGTAAGATCAGCCAATCAAATGTCAGCCAGCTGTTCCATTTAAATTCAGTTTACATAACCAAATGAAAATTTTATGCAAATAATTTAAACAATAAATACCGCAACAAATTCATGCTAAATAATCATGTTTAACTATGCATTTTTTAAAGTAAATGTGTCAGTATGAAACCTACATTCGCTTTAATAATGCGATTCACCGCATTCATATGATGCTCATACAATTCTGTTGTGCATATCGTATTTGTATCCAGTATGTCGCCATTCTCGTCGCGCACCACCATATCCAAGCCCAACAGACTGTTTCCTGTGTCGATTTGCGATGTGGCCATCAGCTTCACTTTTCGCATCTCGTCAAGTGGCAAATTTCCCGATATGAGCAATGCGCGATTATTATTTAACTCGATCATTTTTGTGCGTATAGAATTGAAGTCGCGATGAGTGACCTGCAAAAAAGACGAAGAGAACAAAAAACCGAAAACAAGAGTTTACAACAGTCATAAGGTGATAAGTGTAGAAAAGTGGTTAGGCACTAAATTGTCACATTTCATGCGAATGAACAAATGATGATTGAATGAATGCGTGAATGAATGAATGCATGAGTGTTGTGCAAAATTTTAGCGATTAAATTTAAAAAACTAAAAATAAAAAATAAAAAAAATCGTTCAGCATTGTCAGCGCTGACAGCAGGGAGCGTTTACTCGTCATTGATGACGTTACTGCTGGCGACATTCTTTAAGTTGGGGTCAATTCAATTTACTTATGTTTTAACTGCTCTCCAACGCGAGCTGTTATTGTTGCACTCACCAAAAAATACTGCTTCAATATGGAACCCCACTCCAATAGAACTTTGGTGATTTCCTCAACGATCTCGGTACGCTTGATACANTTATTTAACTCGATCATTTTTGTGCGTATAGAATTGAAGTCGCGATGAGTGACCTGCAAAAAAGACGAAGAGAACAAAAAACCGAAAACAAGAGTTTACAACAGTCATAAGGTGATAAGTGTAGAAAAGTGGTTAGGCACTAAATTGTCACATTTCATGCGAATGAACAAATGATGATTGAATGAATGCGTGAATGAATGCATGAGTGTTGTGCAAAATTTTAGCGATTAAATTTAAAAAACTAAAAAATAAAAAATAAAAAAAATCGTTCAGAATTGTCAGCGCTGACAGCAGGGAGCGTCGCAGATGTTTTGCTCGTCATTGATGACGTTACTGCTGGCGACATTCTTTAAGTTGGGGTCAATTCAATTTACTTATGTTTTAACTGCTCTCCAACGCGAGCTGTGTTATTGTTGCACTCACCAAAAAATACTGCTTCAATATGGAACCCCACTCCAATAGAACTTTGGTGATTTCCTCAACGATCTCGGTACGCTTGATACAATACTCGTCGTTGATGATTGTGTAATCGCACAAATGTATGTAGGATTTCGGAAATATGCCGCGCTGATCTTTATATCTGCAATAATTATAGAAACAACAAAAAATTATAAGAAACCATAAAAAAATACATACAAACACATGAGAAATTAAAAATATTTGCCTTAATAAAAATGGACAGAATTAATAAATAAAGACGAGCTTTGCAGTTTATGACCACACATATGTATGTATGTATGTATGCATGTATGTATGTACATTCATATGACATAAATGTGACGCAATTGTTGATGGATTGTTGTACAAAAAAAAAAAATAAAAATAATTAAAAACAATAACAATAACCAACTAAATTATTAACCACAACAAAAAAAAGCCTGCTGGCAAGCGACAAATATGGGCACACATTCTATGCAATTGAGTACCAACAGATGGCGCACACTGGGGCAGTACACCCCCTAAAAAAAAATTGATGTGAGAATACTTTCTCCATATTGGTTAATTCGATTTTGTGTTGCATAAAATAGTTTTTGATACTTAACTTGCATTTTTAGTACTTGACTTACTTTTATCGGAATTATTTATTTATTTTGTTTTAGGAACGTCCTCGAATACATTATTTATTTAAGACAACAACTGTTAAAAATATAAATGCATTAGGTAGAATAGATCGAGTAACAATAAATATACGGTGCCGGACAAAAATATTGGCATAGAGCATTTTTCGTAATGTATACAAAGTTATTTACTTTAATTTCTTTTCGCTAACTTTTTACTAAAGTATATTTCATATTACATACAACAAAATAACAAAAAAAAATAAAATCTCTTAATTTTTCGGAAAACTCAGGTATATTCAACAAATTTGCAACTTTCTAATCAGATTTTTTGGAAAAATTGTAAGTATTTAGTTTTATAGCCCACTTTAATATAATAAAGTATAAGCTTGAAGTAGCCAGGACTTGCCGTTTACTTTTGGCAATTCTTTGTGTTGACCGGGCTGTGCATTTTCATACAAACAAAGTATTTTTCAAGATTTTTTTATAAAATATAATTAAAAATAATGTTCTTCATAGAAACTGCTTTTTCTAATATCAGATATTTTTAGAAAAACATTCGATTCGAAAAAGTTTATTTGATGGCAGTTATGAGGGTATCTAGCCCCAGTGTGCGGTGGCGAGTTGAGCAATGTATGGGTTGTGGAAAATTGGTGTCCGCGGGGAATGATGAGGGGAAGCAGCAGACAACAACTGTAGATACTATATAAGCTTGCTGAGCTCGCTAAGGAGAGTTCCGCAAGTAAGCGGTGCGGTGCGACGCATGCGCAAGACAGCACCAGCATACATACATACATACTGCATAGTTAAATTTTGCACTGAACGGTTGATCTTTATTAAAAAGGTTAATATTTTCGTTAAAAAAGATGGCGGCGGCCCAGTTTTCTATACTTTATTTCAATGCAATTTTTGTGTATAACAACAATAACTTACAATTTTTGTAGTTGGCGACATTTTAACTAGTTTGTACAAAATTTATAAAAATTCAACAATTTTTTACCGAAATTTCAAACTTGACAAAAAAATATAAAAAATCAACCGAATTCCTAGCCGCTTGCACTTTACATGCTTACGAAAGTTTGTAGAATTGTTTTTAGTATTGCACAACGTTTGAAATATAAATTTCTTCTTGTTAAAGAATGGATCATTTTTATAAAAATTTATTAAAATTAAATAATAAAAAAATGAATAGTGAAAACTTGTCAATATGTGGATGGGGTATAATTGTGATAAGCACTATACAATAAGATAGACTTTTATAAAAACCTAAATCAATGATCAAAATATCGCTAAATTAATTAGTTGACCACAAGTGTAAATACATACTTACATACATATGCATACATCCATTCGCATGTATGTATGTATATACGAAATTTGGCAATGACTAGTACTTTCGCAAAATACTTATATGTACAATTATGGTAAAATGGAATGAGGAAAGTTTAGACGCCAAAAACGGTTAATTATTTTTCAGCGCTTAGGTTACGGTCATTAACCGAAAAATTGTTTTGGCTTCAAACTGGAGCTGAGCCAAAACAAAGCAGTCGTTTGTGTGGCATTTGGCATTAGAAAAGAAGAATTTAAACCGTGGATTATTTGAATGATTTACATTTGCATATTCGAACGTATGTATGTATGTACATTAGACTGCATCACCAAAAAAAAGTTGCGGTCTTTCCGCCGGGATTACAAAATTTATTATATTTTAAGACGTTCACCAAAATATTTCGGAAGAATATTAAGATTTAAGCGAGCTGCACCGATTTGAAAATACCTCAAAAAATGGAGTTTTTTATGAATAAAAATAATTTCTTAAAGAACTTTTTGAAAAAAGTCCCCTCAGATGACAAAACAGATTAGGCTTAAAAAATCTCCATAAAAATATTTAAAAATCTTTTCAACGGAATCGTAATAATGAGATTTTCGATGCTGTTTTTTTTACTTTTTTCAAAGATTAATTTACGTAAATCTTAAATAACTGGGCTAAAACTATTCTGATTTAGACTTTTGGGATCTCGGTAGAAAGGCATTTTCCCACTATTTTTATTTATGTGCAAAAAATTTCATTCGTGTCCCAATTTTTTTTTTTTCAAATTCCAACAAATCTTAATTCAACTTTGAATGATGTTCGTTCATCCTACCTTTTTCTTTCATTCTTTGAATGAGTTTATTAGCAAAGAAATAAAAAGGGTGAGAAAATACCTTTCCAATGATAACTCACAGGTCTAAATCGGAAGAGTTTAGGCTCAGTTATTCAAGTTTTTCTTATACCAATCTTTGAAAAAAGTTGAAAAACAGCATCTAAAATCTCATTATTACGATTCCGTTCAACATTTTATTTTTAATTTTATTTATGTAAATTTTTTGAGCTTCAACCGCTTTGTCATTTGAGGGAATTTTTTTCAAAAAACATGTTTAAGAAACTATTTGTATTCATAAAAAACTCCATTTTTGGAGGTATTTTCAAATCGGTCCAGCTCGCTTAAATCTTAATATTTTTCCGAAATATTTTGGTGGACGTCTTAAAATCTATTAGATTTTATAATTCCAATGGAAAAACAGTACCGATTTTTTTTTTGTATGGGGAGTGATGCAGTCTAATGTACATACATATGTATGTGAGAAGTTTTGAGGATTCTCAAAAAAAAAACATACATACATACATATGTAATTTTATGATAGAATTTTTTTGTGTAACCATGGTAAAAAATAGAATTGTAACGACAGACTAATTTTAGGGTGATCGATAATGCTAATAAAATCGATGACTATGCTAAATATAACAATATTAAAACAAATAATATATATATTGGAATAATCGATTAATAATAACACGGTTCTTGTTGTAGCCAAGATACGTACTCGCCTCGGAGCAGCAAAAAATTAACGACTATAGCAGAAGAGGCGACGTTCGCCATTCGACTCTCATACCTGATCTTTAAGAGCACTCTTTAACAAACCGATATACAAGTGGAAGAAGTAGTTGAGTTTCAGTGCCCGCGAAAGAAAAGCTGGTACAAAGAGGGATACATTGCTTCAGAGACAACAAAAAAAACGCCTCTGAGAACAGGCGCAACGCGAGCTATGTGAGATTAATATAGAGAGCTAAATAGGGAAGTGAGACATACGTTCAATAAAAAAGGAGTAGCGCCAAAACCCCATCAGCGCGAAAACCTTAAGGTGCTGATCGGAAAGAATATTTAAGGCGACTTGCGGAAGGTTCCAAGATAAGATTAAATTCCTGTAAGTGAAAACACGGCGATTTAGTGACCGTTGTCCAGGGTGTGCAAAAAATTATGAAGGTAATCCCTCCCCATTCCACACTACTGAAAGTAGTAGCCGACATGGGCCCAGGCAACCAGTCGAGGACGATGGAGTCAATGTACCACCAACTCCTGTCTGAATGAGCTGAAAAACAACAATCTGCTGAAACTGACGGCCTGCCACCTGAGCTATTCAAGTATGGCAACGAGGAGTTGAAGAATATATATAAAATTCAATACCCAATGAACCATCTCGACGTGAGGTTATGCTGCCCGGCCCGTAAAGGACTCACATAATCCGAATGCATATCTAACGTATTTGAGTATAAAAAGGTTTATCCACTCGGTGGATTTATTTGGTGTAGTATGTCTGTCGCTTTCCTTAAATAATAAATAAAAGTAAACAAATGAAAAAAACAAAAAACAAAAAAAAACAACAACCACATGATCAAGTCTAAATAGCAGCAGAATAGCTATCCTTGGTTGTAGTTGGGTTACATGTGAAAAAGTGGATAAAAGCAACAACAGCTTATAAGGCTTTGTAAGCTGGAGGTGCTGGCTCGAATCTGAATGAGCTCGATGAAGAGGTCTGATGAGGAGATGTGGCGATCTCTGAAATAGCAGTTTTAGCTTCTACCATTTGCAAACTGGTGTTGTTTTTTCCACAATAATTTTTCGCAAAAACGGCATAAGGTTCAATAATATAGTTCAATTTGTTTCGCTATCAGTTCTCTTTCTAGAGATATTAGATTTTATCACAAAAAAAAAATCATTTTTCACCCGGTGTGCTCTCCTCTTCCAACCAACCATCAACCTCTAGATGTTGTCATAATTTATTATAGTTTTACTTTTCTCAATAAAATAGCGCAATATTTCTTTTATGAATATTTACGATTCGGATTCGGAAGAAATGCTTACATAAATATTAGGGTGTTCTATTACTTGCCTTTTTCCAAAACCGGTTTTTCGAATTATTCGGTAGATTGCAATTTGAAAAAACCGGTTCCCTATTTTGAAATTAAGAAAAACTTGATAAAGCGGGTTTATTTTACATAGTTTTCATATGGGGAAAATGCTTATGTTGGTATGAAGTCATGACCGAAAACGATTAACCTTAGACATAGCTTTTATTTAGAAAAAAAAGAAAAGCAAAAACAAAATAAACAGCAGTGAAAAATTCAGGTTTGGTCTTATTTAAACATTGTTTAATACTTTATTGCAATTTTCTGCTTTTTTCGGATTTGAGTAGTGATCTTGCCGCCATAGCCGAGTGCTTAGATATGCCTACCGCTACTCGGTAGGTTCAGGGTTCAATTTCTGGTCCCATCAACATTAAAAAAAGGCGAACCTCACAAAGCACTTATTCACAGCTGGAGTAAAAAGTGCATATCTCTCCATGTAGGAGTTTCCCATAAACTGAAGAAAAACCTCAAAAATGAAAAGTGAAAAATTCGGTTTGTTCCGTAAAAAAATCGGGTTATTCGATATTAGAAAAATCAACATTCCAAAAAACCGCCATATATGTATATCCAAAAAACCGCTCGAAACCGGTTTGGAAAACCGAGTCAATCACCCTAATAAGCAGAGATAGTACATAAATAACTGTTCGCCAAAATAATAAAATCAAATTCCTGCCAACGTTTACACCCTCATTGATAAGCCGTGAGAAAAATATACAAAAATTCGACACGACGATGGCAGCCATATAAAAATATCAACTTTTACTCAATAAGTACCCATTCATAAAGACGTTCAATCAATTTCTATAATTTACCATTTCGTTTCATTTATTTATGTATTTGTCTGACCCATTCGACATGCTGAATGATTTTTTTTTTTATTTATGGGCATTTTTATTGCCATTTATTTTTCACTTTTATTGAATCACATTGTTGTCATTTCCGACCCCATAGGCCAGTCATGTCCAACACTTGTTTGTAAGCAAGCAAGTGTGCGTGCAATGTCTCCCAAGTGAAGCTACGCTGCTAGAGCGCCGCTGCTTGGGCTGGCATGGCATGGGTCAGCAGATGTATGAAAGAGGTCAGTGATATGCGTATACTCTGAAGCGGAGAATGTTTGAAGATTGAAATGAAAAAAATAAATGAAAATAAAAAATAATAAAAAAATGGGAAAAAAATAAATGAATCAACAATAGGAAACGAAAAATTTAAATGTCATGAAGAGCAAAGACGGGCGGGCAAACAGACTTGGAAAGCGTAGCGTAGCGACTTTGGGAGTCAACATGAAATACGTGATAAGCACCAAGTCGCACCAAGTTTAGTAACGATTTTCCACGCTTGAAACTATGCATTTACTGCTAAGAAAACTCAGCAGAATTTATCAAGTCTTGAAAGGCTGGAGGAGGGAAAAGGGTCACTAACGACCGATATATGTATGTAGGCACTGCGCACTTGCGTAGATAAAATACCGCGACACATACATACATACATACATACATACATATTTATGTATCTCTATGTACAGTGTACAAACATAAATTCATACATACATACGTATTGAGAAGTGACAAACACAGCAAAGAATAAAATTCATAGATAACAGCCATGGTCAACCATTTCTTGGTGTGAAATCTATGTTTATTTAATTGTGCGATTTGATAAGAAAGAAAAAAATAAAGATAACAATGAGATCAGAATATAATACAATGTGGCGTACTGAGAAATGGTGGATTGATACTTATAACGCAGAAGTAAGTCCAAAAGTATAGAAAGGCGGCGGCGTTGATTCGCGGCAACTCGTAAATTCGGAATTATTCCTAAATTTAAGGCACATCGGGGGTATTTTCAATGATAATTCATAGAAATTTAAAAAGAACTTATTTGAGTTGGTATGCTGACTGCATTACCGACAAAGAGCTAGTAGATGTGCAGGCCAGTTTTGTATGTTATCTGCATTCTACGCTCTCTGAGCAAACAAAGTCCACGGTAGCCAAATAGTCAGAACTTTATACTACAGCTCAGTAGGACCCGGAATCGATCCCCACTACGAGCAATTGTAGAAAATCATTTTTTTTTTTTTTAACCGGCTTGAAAAAACGGAGGAAGGTTAGCTATTCGTCGGAATATATTTTTTTTTTTTTATGTATGTACATATGTTACCGGATAACTTTGGGCCACGCAAACCGTTTTCGATAATTCTGATGAAGAAATTAACAATACTCGTAAATTTTTATATGAGCATTGAAGTCGGTTTTGTTTGTTTTCTTAAAAAACGGGAGCTAAAAAAAAAAATTAAATTTTGCAGGCCGTTGGATTGAATCCACGACCTTGAGCTAGCTTAATGCGCAATGCTTATGCCTATCAGCGTACAATTTTGATCAGATCAACTGCGTGCTATAAGATCTGCAACAGACCGGAGATGAAAATTCACAAATGTTTGCAATCGTCTGACGGCGAATATACACATGCCTTTCTATAGAGAGTTATACAAAAATATGTACTAAGACGTTTCACAACAAAAATCTTCTTTTGGCTGTATATGTATTTACTAGGGCTGTGCGATTAATTGATTACTCAAAATTTTAATTAATCATAAAGTAAATAACTCAGTTATTCGATTAATTAGAAGTTATGATTAATCAAAAGTTCAGTTACTCGAGTAATCAAGATTTTTGATTAACCAAAAACAAAAATATTTGAGTAATTTGCCTTATGATTAATCAACACTTCGAGTAAAATGAGTAATCAACATTTCAACTCTTTACATATGTATAAAATAGTTAAAGTTCCTTGATACTTTGAAAACAACGTTTCTGTTTTCAAAAATTAAAACGAAATTTTTTTTTCATATACAGAATGTAAAAAAGAAAATAAGCATTTTCCAAAGCAAACTCTTTTAAAGAGCAAAATTATTTTTTTGAGTAATCATATTTCAAGTAATTCGATTAATCATCGTTTTGAGTAATCAAAATCGTGATTACTCGAGTAATTGATTAACCGAATAATTGATTAACCAACTTGCTCGAGTAATCGAATAATCGCATAGCCCTAGTATTTACGCAAATATAGTGTGTTGCACATAGCCACAGATATCCATTGAAACTCGGCCGGGGTGTTTCTGCAATGCATGTCTAAGAATTCGAAATATTAGGGGTATTCTCTGAGTCTGGCAAAGCCCTTGCACGGTGCACGGATTACACGGTTTGCAAAGCTGTCCCATACGAAAACCGGTTTTAACCGTGCAATCCGTGCAATCTGTGCACCATGCAAGGGCTTTGCAAGACTCAGAGAATACCCCTATTGTGTTAAACGTGCAACATGCACAGCGATTCCTTGAAGGAATTTTACGCTCTGTACGCGTATGTGTACATATACGCATGCGAAGTGAATGTTTCGGCATGTTTCTTGCCTATTCAGATAATCGACGATAAGAGGGAGGCCAGGGGGTATTCAATGTGGAAACAGCTACTGCAAATAGAGGCGTGGAATAAACATATGTTTGCACACGTTGCAGGGATAACAACTACAAGTAGCGCTGTTAGAGAACTATATAAACACATACATATGTATGTATATTATGCATTTGAGGCATTGGAAATGATTTACGGCACCGGCATTGTACGCAGAATTAAAACTGTGAGAACGGAAGCTACTATTGGGCAATTTTTATGAAAAACTATTTAAAATAAATATTTTAACATATTTAGCTAAGTATACAAATTTATAAATGATGATGAATGGCTTCTGTCTCTTCAGGTCAAAGGTTTTTCGGAGTGAAAAGTAATAACAGATTGGGTTTCATCTTTGCCAGGGACAAGATACGGATGGACGGCAGAGTCTTTCGAAGCTTTCAAAGTTGCTAAATGTGATCGACTTTTTCCAGCACTAACAAGGAAGTATTGGGGATATCATTGATACTCGTAACTGCATATATAGGAATAATAAATGCTCGTCATATTTATTACTCATGCGCTTGTCTTATCTCAATGAATTGGATTACATACATATATCCGTTTAACAGGTTTTCAGAAAATAATAATAATTTAATATATCGAAATAAAGGGAATCTTAAATCAAAATAATTCACTTACCTCTGCTTATAGCCATAATACCAATGTGTTGTCTCCTTTAGTACTACAACCGTATCGCCTACATCGAGACTCAAGCGGTGTGGCTTTTCTTCCTGATCGAAATTGCACTTCGCTAAAAAGAAAAAGAAAGCACAAACAATACGGAAATTAGTTTTAATGCAACAACAATAAAATGTTTGTGTTTCGAATTTTCACAAATTCACAAGCGATTGCGACTAATCAGACAATACACAGAGAACAGCGTTCTTTGTTAGAATTTGATGTGTAAATATTTAAGGTTAGGTTGAAAAACTAACCATATCGATTTGAATAGAGTGTAAGCACTTTTAATAAAATAGCAGCTGATTCAAGAAATTAGTCTGCTTAAGCTATAAACCACATTTTTTTTCTATAACAAAAAAAAAACTTAAAAACCAAAACGTATAAACAACCTAAGCGTTTTGCTGACACGTCGCTACTAAATAATTGCGAAGAAATATTTCAGTCTGTTCGGAAGCTATGAAACAGATTTCATATTTGTGCTCAAACGTAGATTAAAAAAACAAAAAAAACCTGAGTTACTGCATATAGCAACAACAGCGACTGCAGAGGTGTAGAAAATAGTTTAGCGCACTTAGCTGCCGATGGTTTGAGCTTCGAATTAAAAAAATTATTGAGCGCAATGTGGGAGATTTGCTTTAAAACGCCAACGAACGAACGTGCGAAATCAGTGGGAAATTCATTCAAGCGTTTACCTTCGCTTAACTTCCATGCGAGCGTGTATGGTTTTGTATATACATATAAATTTTCAAATTTCGTTATGCGCATTTGCTGTTGTTGTACCTCGTAATGGGGGTGAAACTAATAGATTTACTGATAAAAATTATATTTTGCAAACAACGAAATAAATTTCGACACAAATGATGTCGTAGAGGGATGGTGAGTGTGCGTGTGTTTGTGTATATATGTAGGTTTGCAGTTTTGCAATTGGCATATGCAAATTACACGTACGAATATAGTTCGCCATTTCCTGTGTCCGCACACACGGCGTGGGGTGTTGCGGTATCAATGAACTTGCAAGGTGACGGCTGAATGGGTGTTAAATATGAATGAAACAATAACCGTAACTGGAACGATAACCACGTGAAAAAATATTGCAATTTATGCTGGCATAAGTAAGTGCTTGTGTTAATACGTTTTGTACCCGCTCATACCCGCTTAATGGGTTATTTATGTTTTTTTGTTTGTAGTTTTGCAAAGGAAGGGGTGTTTAGCTACATGCGTGCCAACCCTCGGGTCTTTAATTTATTATTAACTGTTTGATGTTTTCTTTTTCTGAAGCGTTCTAATACATATGTACATATGTATATTAGGGTGTCTCAACAAACAAAGCTGCGCTTTTCCACCCGAATTATAAATATTTCGGAAAAAATATTAAAGGAATTCATGAAACGTCGCAAAGTTGTTGCAAATGTCGCATTTGTTGCAAAATTTGCCGCATGGCGAAACAGCTGATTACTTTTGTATGCAAACTTTCTTGCGACAAAATTGCAACACTGCCATATTATTTGAGCTGGCAACCATTCATTGCAAAGTCAAAGGCTTCAAGAAAACGTATATCAGTTCGTTTTGGCTGCTTCGAGATATAATTGTAAAAAACCTTTCTTTTTCACTTATGCGCGGCATTTTGAAAAAAGTTGACATTTGCAATCCGGAGTTGCCATAACTCGTCCATACAATTTGGTTGGTAACGTTGCCATTTCGCCAAAAATGCCACTTTGCGACGTTTTATGAAACGCACTATTAAGATTGACGTGAGCAGTACCGATTTCAAAAAATACCTCCAAATATCTCATTATTTTGATTTCGTTGATAAATTTTTAAAAATTTGTATGCCGACCCCTAAGTTTAAACTCTTCTGTCATCTAAGTTGATATTTTGGAAAAAAAATAATTTTTAAGTAATTTTGTTTATAAAAAACTCGATTTTTGGAAGTATTTTCAAATCGGTCCAGCTCTCGTAAATCTTAGTATTTTTCTGAAACATTTTCTAATTCCGATGGAGAAACGGTACCGATTTTTTATTTTTATATTTTTGTATAGAGTGATGCATCCTAATGTATACATATACTTATGTATAATAAATTGAGCTAAAGTAATGAATAAGAGAATGTATGAAGTTTTGAAGGTTTGTTTTTTCAGCACAATTCAATTACTCTCACTAACGAGTGTTCTTGGCTAAGAAATGTAAAAACTTTCCTGAGAAAAAAATTTCATCAACTTTTTCTGTAATCGCTTTTTTAATAACACATACAAATGTATGCATGTGCATTAGGGTGGTCCAAAAACAGTAAAGTCGAACTTGTAATGCTATCGCCCTCTAGGATTGATCTATATCGAAAAAAGTATACCCCTATTTTTTATTTTGAAATCAAAAAATATTTAGAGGTCGATCAAAGCGCTCAAAGTTTTCCATGTATTTTTATATGGGAAAAATAAATTTTTTCATAGAAATGGTATAGAATTCTTGAAAGTTAATATTTTTCGATCGAAAAACTCTGGTTCTCTTTAGGAGACTTTCAAAAAATAATACGCAATTGCTTATTTAACCATTCTTTAATACTAACAACTTTTTATTGGTCACCCCATTGCATTTTGCGGGGTTTTTGTAGGTTTTTGCCGGACCTATAAATTATAGTTGCAAGGAAAAAATGGCTAAATAAACAATTGGGTATTATTATTAGGAATATCTCGCAGACAAACAGTGTTTTTTGGTAGAAAAATATTGAGTTTTAACTATTCTATACCACCCACATATTGACAAGTTTTGACTTTTTTTATTCAACTTTAATTATTTTTTACAAAAAATAGTTTATTCTTAAAATAAAGTTTAAATCCAAGTCATAAATTTGTGCAAAATTAAAAAAAAAACAAAAACAGTAAACTCTCGTAAAAACTTCGATTTTTTATTGGAATATATATATATTTTTTTTACGTATGTTACCGCATAACTTTATACCACCTTAACCGATTTCTATAATTCTTTTTTTAAAGGTGGTCCAAAACTAATTGGGTTTAATTCTGATCATTGGATCATGAAAAAATTTGTGATAATTTAAAATTTTTGTATGAGAGTTGAAGTCGGTTTTGGTTTTTGCTTAAAAATTACTTTTTTGGAATTACCGTTACGTGAGTGGAACGCGTGGTTTTTGTTATGTCCAAGCTTATTCCTTTCGGCGATGAGATTTATCTTTCACTTACAATTCTCTGTGCTGAACTAAAGTAGATGAACTCTGTACCTATAAACGGGTGACTATCTATTTGATGTAAGATTATAAAGGATGTGAAAGAGATAGGATCGCAAAGGCTGCGCCGCGTTCTTCTCCTCATTGAAAATGTCCAAAAGATCAATACATTATTCTTTTCGATTTTGAATAACTTTTCATGAGAAAAACTTAGATTAGTACTTTACTTCAAATTTTCTATTTCTATTTGATTAGAGTTTTTTAATGATGGCTTCTCTGGTTTTCATAAATTTGGAATTTTTAAGCATTTACTTTTTTATTCAATTTATGCTTTCTAAGTTAGAACGCAATAAATTTCAGCTATAATTTGAGTAACGCTCTAGTAAACAAAAGTATATGAATCATTAAAACCAGCTAAAACCGTTCGCAACCCACTTTAAAGTGGTTTTAATGGACAGTAGTAGTAAATCCATGGCAGTACAGCAACAAATTTTAATTTACTTTCCTTTTTTATTAATTCGCAGTGTGCGTATCTTCTTCTGAATGCAAATCACATTCGCAGACAAATTCCAAGCAAACATTTTTAAATATGCAAAGCAAGAGATATGTAGCAGGCAATTATCGGTGGCTGAAGGCTGCTGACCGGCCGACAGGCACTAATCAGCAAGCAAAAGATAAAATTTGCTGGATTGGAGCAAGCGGAGTTTACTAGCTATGTAGCTATTAGCATGCGCTTATGCTCCTAGGAACATACATAAATACGTACACATGTATGTACATACATATATATGTACAATTTCAGTCAATTATGGACCAAAGCAAACGCATACTCGATCCCACACGCTGAGCTACCTATGTATGTACATACATACATACATAAGTGAGTGCAAGTGCATAGCTACTCCAGCGTCCAATGACCGAAAATCTACCAAAGCAACAGTTGACGTCAAGTTAATTTGAACATATGTAAACCCATATGTAGTATCTATTTGTGTATGTAGTGTATGTACATAAAAGCGCATTCCTACATACATACAACTTGTAGCAATCATACAACACTGATGCGACCTCCACTGCAGCATTGACAATCAACAACAACAACTTTCAACGCAAGCAATCCACACAAATGCAACAAGTGCAACGAACAATGTGGACTGCAGCATGCAATTGCAGGGCAGTTTGTTGTCGGGGTAAACAAAGTAAAAAAAAATACCGGCATTAAATTGCGCCAATCATTACTAAATGGCACACTCGTGGCAATGGACACTCTCACTCACTCGCTCGCGGCAGCAAAACACCGGGGCTGTGGTAACTACATACAACAGTGCCAGCCGTGCCACCACTAGCGACATCGCCCAGCAGATCAATTGCAATCGGCAGTGAAGCATGTCGAATACGCACTAGCAAAACAATAACACAACATACATATACGAATTGGAATGTTGTTACTTTATACATACAATAAATATATAATTATATATTCTTTTTAAATTTTTTTACTCTTTTGAATTTATTTTTTGCGGTTGCGGCGATATTTTAATTATTTCCAATTTCGAATACTGGGCACATACCAAGAACAGCTAAGCTTCATCTAATTTCTATATATATTTCGAAATTTAAAAAAAAAATAATGGCTTTCCGAATTGCTCGTAAACTAATAGAGCACCTAAATTTATTTTGGTGGTCTTAATTAGTACCTAAAAAGCACCTGTTTTCTCAATAATATTTATCAATGTTTTACGACGTGAGTCAGCTAGGTTGACGGATGTGGGTAACCAAACCAACCAACCAAAAATTCAACCAAAATTACAAACTAAATAATCGACTAAAATTGACAACATATTGATTTTAAGTGAAAACACTGGCAAATAATTTAAAGTAATTAATGA